AAGGGACAACACCCAGGTGGGAGTACAAGACACATGAATGACAAAAAAAAAACCCTGCTCCCAGTTACTTTTCATCCTGTTTTCTACCTGATGGTGACTTCCAAGGAGCACCTGAGGACCACACCTGAGGATCAGATCTGTGGATGCAGCAAGGTGACAAACAGCTAGGCGGCAATGTGGCACACACCAGTACTGCCAGAGGAGAACTCGGAGCCCTTAGGGCCTTTGCACCCCCAGTTGGCGATGTCTGTGGATGACAAAGGTGGAGAATCAGCGTCCACGCAATGTCTCTACTCCTCATCCTCCCCCCCACGCATCTTCCCTCCTCTCGGGGTGCATTCTGTGAGGTGGCCCAGGCTCCCCACGCGGGGAGCCTTGGTTCATCCTTTCCCCTCCACTGCCCAGCAGCAGCGCCATCCGAGAGAGAGCCGCACCCCAATGGCACCAGGCTGAGGAGCCAGACGTGTTCCCCCTACTGCTGGCATCCGGGATCCCTGACAGGAACGCCTACGGCCTAGCCCCAGCACGAGAAGGGAGTCACCCTCACCACTGTACCCACAAAGAACACTATATCCCAAAGAACCACGTGTCCCCCTCTTCTCTCCCTGCCGGCGTCTTCCAAGAACCCACTGAAGAGCAGACCTCTGCAGCCACCACGCGGCAAACAGAAAGGCGGGAATTTCCTCAGCGCCGGGACTGCCAGTGGACACCACGCCGACCCTTAGGACCTCTGGTGCCCCCACTGGTGCCTGAACACCATGCTGTCCAGGGTCATGACCCCACGCACACACATGCATCATCTTGACTCTGTAGACAATCTAGACACACAGATTTACACACAATCCAGCCAACATCAACTCCTGCCTCTCACGCTACCATGCATAGTGAGGGACCAATCACAGAAAGGAGGAGGCAGAGAAATTAGGGGTTTTATGGGATTAGGAGATATTCAGGTGTGTCCTCAAAACCCAGCACCAGTGGAGACACACACCCAGTCGATCTATGTTTCCTTAGAGTTTCCATAATGGCTCACAGTTACCCCTGTGCTGCCTTCTGCTTCTCTTTGAGCAAGAGTGGCACCATCATGCCAAGCCACTGTGTGTGCTGAGCTGGTCGGCAGATTTGGATGTAGGGACTGAGCGCTTAAACTTTGCTGTCTTCCTTGTAGCAGGCGTTGTTGTGACTTGGCCCATGCAACCACTTTTTTTTGAACAACTGGATTCAAACCCTGTATTTGCCTGTCCTGTCCCCAAACACCCCCGCTCCATTCCGGAGGCCCACGATTAGCTAAGTCAGTCTTCAGAATAATCACTTTAACAGCATAGGCCATACTAAAATACAATGCCACTCTTTCACCACCAATGAATTTTGCCTCCAGCCTTCTGTCCCCATTTGGTGCCTGTAGCCTGGTGGAGAAATTGAATTCTGCCTCTCAGCTGCATTAGGTGAGATTCAGCTGGGAGATCCCATTGCACCATGTGTCTGTGCTCATACTTTCCTCCCACACTGGCTAGTGGCATCACCTCAGAGGGAGTGGGAATCCAAATGCATCAGGCAGCAGGAGAAGAAGTATTTTGCACAACAGATGGCACACTTACATAACCAGAGACGAATCCAAAGTGCATCACTGTGGACTCCATAGCAGAAGATGGTAGCCGCAGTTGGAACTTCCATCTGCTCCCAACCATGCACTGGTCTTCCCTTTCCTCTCCACCTTGTGGCTCCACCACAGATTGAGGACTGAATCTCTGGATCCTGCCTCTGGCACACAGTTAGGAGGCTATTTCCTGCTGCCAAGTAGAGGTTATGTGCAGCCAAGACCTCTAGTGCCCAAACAACATATCTGCAGACCTGGTAGGTAGCCGTATGAACCCCAAACCATGGTCTAGCCCTTTCCAATTGTTCAGATGCCCTAAGATTCAAGTCATCAACCAGCAGCAACTCCTGTCGAGATCTTTCCAATTAGGGCAAGGAACCAAACACAGACAGGGAGAACTGAGTGAATTTCTTTTGAGGAGTGTGTGTCAGAGTATTTTTTAGATGTGTACTAATAAATTGAGCCTGTACCTACACCTTGGTCCTTTGCATTAAATCATATATTGAATGAGGTTTAGCAATTTTCCCTAGACCTTCTGGAGCTTCAAGTCTAGCAAGAGGAATACCACCAGAAAGAGACGGTGTATTTGTGCTGGTCCTGGGATTTGGATTCAGGGATATGCCCACTTTAGCTTAGACATCTTGCTTTTGGAGTCATTCTGTAACTTGATCCATGCCACCAGTACTCACAGATGATTGGGGGGAAAGATGGAGGCCATGCCATCTTTTTACCTGGGCATGGGTAAATGCAAGATTCACCCATGTTGGCCTTTCCTTCCACATTAGCTAGGATACAAAGATTGTGCACCATAGCCATGAGAAATTCCACATGCACAACACAGGTCCTACTGAATCAAAATGCCATTTGACCACGACATACTGAGGGGACACTCTCTAGTGCCTTTTGGCATATTCAGCCCAATGCAGGAACCAGGATCCTCTTGGGGGCATTAGTTGAGATCAAGTGGCACCTGCTGGCCTGGAAAATACTTCCCTCCTCCACTGGCTGGTCTCCATATTCAAGAACAAGATGGAACCACAATTGTACCAGGCAGGATTGACATGGGTATTCTGGTCAACTGTTGGCATCACTGGACATCTACAGGGGACTGAAGAAGTCTTGCCCTCAGGATCCTACAGCAGGTGGCCACAGCTGGCTCTTTAATCCTGCTCCCAAAGAACAATTATCAGCCACTCATCTCTACCTAGTGGCCTCATCATGAGAAGACAAGGAGCAGACTTGTGGACCAACCAAACAGACAAAATACACTAGAAGGTAATTCCCTCTGCCATAGTGATGCAAGAGCAGAGCTCCTCTGTAGTCTGGATCTATAGCTCCTCCCAGCAGTGTTGGCAGACACTGCAGGTGAAAACTCATCCCTCCACCCTGCTTTGCTCTGTCCCTATGGAGTCTTTAGTAGACTGGATTTTCCCAAAGTGCACAAACAGTGACACTTGGCTCTCACCATCCCAATTAGGTTTCCATGTCAGTAGGACAGGGAGAAACAGGGAGGGAGAAGGAAATATTCCATTTTGATTCTTAAGACACCATTGTACCACCGGAGCTACACCATCATTAATTTTAGGTAGACTTGGTATTTAATAAGTTCTCAGAATTTTTTTCCTACTGCAATTGAGCCCAACATGAACAACCACTCTGACATCTATTGTGCTGGTATGTGTTGGTGTGTATGACTGCATATGTAGGTGGGGAGATTATCAGACTCTGATTTAGGTATTAAGCAATTCAATCTTGCTTTCTTGCTCTTGAGGACAAATTGATCACCTTCTCCATGACTCCAATTTAATCAACTGCTTTTTTGGTGAGATTGATGTCAAACCAACTCTCTTCATGGGCTGTATTTAAATTATGAATCCCAGATTTTGTTGCCTGAGTATCTAGGATAACAACTTCAAGCCACCATACCCAGCACAGAACATTTTGACAACACTGGTGCTATAGAAAAATAATAACAATGTATTATCACACATTAGAATTTAGGCACCTTTTCTGGCTGCAACATTTCAGAGAATGGTGATGAGGAACCTGGCCTCTTTCCTTAGAAATAGCTAGCAGAAGGCTGGGAAGGTGGCTCAGTGGTAGAGCGCTTGTCTTGCATGCCTGAGGCCCTGGATTCGATTCCTCAGCTCCACATAAGAAAAAAGAAAAAAGCCGGAAGTGGCGCTGTGGCTCAAGTGGTAGAGCGCTAGCCTTGAGCTGAAGAGCTAAGGGACAGCGCCCAGGCCCAGAGTTCAGGCCGCACAACCGCACCCAAAAAAAAAAAAAAAGAAAGGAAGAAAAGAAATCGCTAGCAGAGATGAGTAGGAAATCCCACTAACACAAAGCAGTCCAGGAGAAATATGTTCCTTCTGCACTGGTTGGTGGCATCATCCACACATAGACTGGATGGAAAAGCAAAATCAAGGGGTTAGTCTTAATTTTTATGGTTCATATGTAGGCAAAGAACCAGTGAAATTATAATCCCAGTCCTTTTTGTTTTACTTATATTTTGAATAAAGCTAATTACACTTCCACAGCTAGAGTCTTATATTTTCTAGGATTCCTGAGTTTGTAGTATACAGATACCAATATTTTGTACATGAATAAGTCACTACAGACACTTTTCAATGTCCACTGAGTTTTGCTTTCCTCAGGGAAAAAAACAGTTTTTCTTAACCGTCTCATTTGGGGTGGAGGAAGTTTTGGGGAGTTATAATTTTCATTCAGAACATTTTGCAAACTACCTACTGAACTTAGATTGAGGGCAACGTAGCTACTAGCAAGTTCAAAACCAGCAACTATTGTTGGTGAACTTATGTTTAAAAAAAAAACAAAAACCAATCAAAATTTTTTTTCTAAATAAAAAAGCAAAACCAGCAAGAGAAATGCTATTCAGTGATACATCATTTGCATAGCATTTTAAGGACCTGAATTTGTTGCACAGCACCTTTAAAAAAGGAAAATCTCTAAAACAGAAAAGTATCACTGTATTTTATGTATATACACACAAAAATAACCAAAAGTATTCAGAATATTCCTTAACACTTCAGTTAAGATAAATCATTATAGTTAATCATAAACACAATATTGCCTAACATTTACAGAAATTTGTCATTGAAAGAGGGGAAATATACCATGGAAGCAAATAGTCTTTCCTGATAGATGAAGCAACTAAAAATGCCTGTATTATATTTGTTCAAATATCAAATGGTATTGAGAAAAAGCAGTATCTTGACACCACCACATTCAAAACAACATATTAAATTTTATTTTATCATAAACCAGTTGTTTCACAACTTTGTTTCCAAATGTAAGACTCAGCTTGTATATACATAATAACATATATATGTATACATATAAACAATATAGATATGAACAATTCAGATGATTACTGAGCTCCACCTTATGGAGAATTCCAACTTATCCTCTCTTCATAAAAAGCAATTACCATCTGAGGGCATTTCACATTAGCCTCTTTTGCTGGCACTAACTCAGTTTCATCGGAACCTTTCCACTTCATGACAAACATCAATCCTCCACTACTCTGTTTGACATCAATTATTCCTTCAGGCTCTAGACCCCTAGCAAAGCCCCTTGGGTTGTCACCTGCATCTCTTGGCTCATTTGATGTGCTAGCACCAGATAAACTAGCATTGTGAGAATTTAGAAAAGCCTCAATTAGGTCTGGACAATTTATATTGTCTTCTGTTTCCCAAGTATTATCAGCATCTGAATATCCCTTCCATTTCAAGAGATATTCTACCTTGCCCTCTACTATGCGTCGGCCCAATACTTTCTCCACAGCAAATAGTTTAGGCTCTGCTTTTGGATATATGATGCGCTTTCCATATGGTGTCAATCTTCTTTTTGGTAGTATCCTTTTCTTGGGAGCCATTTTGACTTGCAGATGTGAAGAGCTAGTATTAACCACGTCAGATGCTGTGAGTCTCAATCCGGCAGTGACTCTGGCCCACGCACCTCAAGCTCCAGTCACCCCTGAGTGGATACTCTAATGTTTTTGGTAAGTCCTAGAAAAACAAAAACACCATTCTGACTCAAATGTGAAACTTGCTAAATCAGCATGCTTGCTATTTAAAACTGTTCTCCGTGTGGCATCTTCCTTAGCTTCAGTTTAGATTCTTAGAAATAGAAAAACTAAGCAGACCAGACAAGTACTCCAGGTTGATAAAAGCTAAATTGTCATTCTAAAACCACAAAAGTAGGTCAGACAACCCTCCAAAATATACATACCAAAAAATATCAAAAGCAATTTATGAAAACTAAAATTAAAAACCAAAACTTCCTTAGGAAAAAACTTGGACAGAATGTGGGAAGGGTTGACACTGTTCAAAAAGGAACGCAGTCATTATCCTGACTTATGAAATGGTATCCCTTCTATACAGAACCTTTACAGTTAAAACAAAATATCTAATACAGTGAAAAAATCCTCCCCATAGCAGGAACATGGAAATACTCAAAAATACCTAAAAAGGAACACTGATTTAAATGGTAGCATATTTCTTCTCTGAATCCAGAGAAGTCTGGAAGGTAATGGTACAATTTTCAAGTGGGAAAAGCAAAGGACTGTCAACTCTGAATTCCAGCTGCATGGAAAACGTCCATCAAGAATAATGGGTAAATTAAGACATACATACTCACATAAGAGAAAATTTAGAAAAGTTTTACTAACAGTTGTATCAATTACAAGCAGCTAAAGAAAGTTCCTCATACAAAAAGTAGATAATACTAGGAGTCTTGCAAGTTTAGAAAGAAAACCAAGAAATATATGAAAATTACGTTGAATATAATAGATAATGTCTTTCCTTAAACAATTTTAAATCATGTTGAATGGTTGAAGGAAAAATTATAATATCTGATATTGAGTTCCATCTATATAAAATAAATGAGAAATTTATATTCCAATAGCTGGATATGTGGACAAAGGTATACAAAAACTGCCTGCTAACAGAAAGGTGTGAGTATGAATCTTAGTACAGTAAAACAAATTCTCATAGTAGGAGGATGATAAAATGACAAGCTAAATGAAAATAAGTTGTCTACATCGTTAGTAGATACCAAAAATATTGACAACAAAACCATTGCAGTGGACTCACTCTTGTCGCCAGAAAATATGTAAGGATAGAGAATTTGGATCTAGTCCTGATTGTGCGGTCAGGGAGGAACCGTGCTCTGTCTCTCAGGGCACATTAGCTGAAATTCAAAGGAGAGGCCCAGTAACACCAGGGGGGCTGGGACATAATTTCTTCCTCCTATGACATCAAGCAAGAGCAAGAGGGAATGGCAACTGGACGAAGCAGGACGTAAGGTTATTTGGCCCAATTGCAGGCATTAGTGGATACCCAGAGAAGAACTGAGATCACCTGAGCCATGATGACCCAGCAGAAGAAACATCCACCCTTAACATTAAAACCTGCTCCCAAAGAAACACGTCTCCTCTCATCTTCCCTACCTGATAGCGACTTCAAAGGACGATCTGAGGACCAGACCTGTGGACTTGGCAAGGCGGCAAACAGCCGGGCAGCAATGCGGTTCACATCGGTCCAGTACAGCCAGAGCAGATCTTGGGAATCCTTAGGGCCTTTGCGCCCCAGCCAGCAGTTTCTGTGGATGACGAAGGCAGAGAAACAGCATCCACGTCTCTACTCCCCATTCCCCCCCACACCCCACACATCTTCCCTCCTCCTGGGGTGCATTTGCTGAGGTGGCCCAGGGTCCCCGCATGACCTGGGTTCATCCTTTCCCCTCCACTGCCCGGCGGCACCATCCGAGAGAGAGCCGCACCCCAATGGCACCAGGCTGAGGAGCCAGACGTGTTCCCCCTACTGCTGGCATCCGGGATCCCTGACAGGAACGCCTACGGCCTAGCCCCAGCACGAGAAGGGAGTCACCCTCACCACTGTACCCACAAAGAACACTATATCCCAAAGAACCACGTGTCCCCCTCTTCTCTCCCTGCCGGCGTCTTCCAAGAACCCACTGAAGAGCAGACCTCTGCAGCCGCCACGCGGCAAACAGCCAGGCGGCAATTTCCTCAGCGCCCGACTGCCAGTGGGCACTACGCCGACCGTTAGACATCTAGTGCCCCTGCCTGCGCCTGCGCAAGATGCTGGCCAAGCTCACGACTCCAAGCACACATGCGTCGTTGTGACCCTGTGGATGATCTAGATGCCTGGATTGAAGCATACTTGACCCAGCACCAACTCCTGCCACTCAACTACCATGCACAGTGAGGGACCAATCACAGGCCGGAGGAGGTGGGGAAATGAGAGGTTGATATGGGGCTGGGGGATATTCAGGTGTGTCCTCACAACCCAGCACTGCACCAGTGAAGACACACCCCCAGTCCTTTCATGTTTCCTTAGGGTTTCCATAATGTCACCAATTAACCCAGTGCCACTTTCTGCTTCTTTTTGAGGGTGAATCGTAGCACTATGCCAAAGCCCTCTATATGTACTGCGCTGGTCTAGGGACTCGGATATAGGGACTTGCTGCCTCAGCATTGCTTTCTTCTTGCTAATTAGCATTATTATATCTTGGTCCACGCTCCCAGTACACACACTGTTTTGGAAAGAGTGATTCCAGATCATACATTTGCCTGCCTTCCCACCCTATACCCACAACTATGTCACAGGATTCTCTAGCATAAAATGATTAGGCACTCCAATCTCTAGATTCACTACTTTAACAAACAGACCATATTAAAATGCAGTGCCACTCTGTCACCAAATAATTACAGCTACAGCCTTCTGTCTCTATTTGGTGATGCACCTGGGTGGACAAACGGCCTTCTTGCTCTCATGCTGCATTTGCTGAGATGCTGTGGTAGGCCTCATGGCTCATAATTTCCTATTCCACTGCTTGTTAGCTTTATCTTAAGGGGAATGGGAGCCCCAAGTATACCAGACAGGAGAGGAAGAAAGGGTTTGCACAACTGTGGTACTGTTACATAACTAGATAATATTGCACATTGTGTGATACTGGACCCCAGAGAAGAAGCTAACAGCCACAGTTGGCACCTGCATACATGTCCCAAATATCTCCTCCCTATACAACAGACCCAGATTAAATCTCTGGATCTAGCTTCTGGCAAACAGCTAAGTGGCCATTTTTCTCCTGTCTTGTTGCACACAATACAGGTGGCTCCTCACATTGCAAACCAACATTTTATCACAAGAGCTACAGCACAGTGCCTTTATGATTAATTATAATTTGAGTAAACATCTAAATTTTTTTCCTAAACCAATTTATGCTTCCATTTGAGCACAGAGGTCCCTGCCACTGACATCTTTTGTGTGTGAGTTGCGCGGGTGTTCACGTGCTTGGGTGTGTACATGGGTGTGTATGTATTTGTGGGGGAGAAGGGTGAATATGAGATTAGGATTTATAGATTCACTTAATTTCACCTAGATTTCTTGATATGGGTGCTAATCTATCACCCGAGTCACACCTCCAGTTAAAACATCTGATTTTGTACTGTGATTGAGGCTAGGGCAAATTTTCCTAGGCTGTTCCCAAACTCTGAGTCCCTGGGTTTATTCCATGAATAGCAAGGCTAATGAAAACGAGTCACCCTACCTAGTAGAAACCTTATTGTGACCTAACAGGCCCTACAGAACAATAATGGCAGCATAACAGACTAAATAGGGTCTCAAGCCTTTGGGCAAGTTTTCTGGCTGCATCCAGCAAGGGAATAGTGTGGAGAACCTCACCTTTCCCCTTATCATTCACTAGCTGGGATTGATTGGAATGCCAGTGACACAAAGCACCCTGAGCAAATGTATTCCTCCTGCACCAGTTGGTAGCATCATCCAAAACTGAAGCTGAAGCAGAGTACAGAGGTATACTCTACCACTTTCCCTCAACAAGGCATACCCTACCTCATCCCTACCCCACAGAAGAATGACATAGACAGATTTAGCACTTGAAACCTCTTCTCAAAAAAGGACATCATCTAGCAAATGCATAACCAACAATCACCATGCCAAATAAGGATCAGACTCTGAACTTGCCCCATGGCCATCATTACCAGGCAATTGTCTCTGACACAGTGGTGCCAGCAGAAAGTCATGTGCGGTTAGGACTTCCAACATGGGCAGATGATGGAAACCCATGTAATACTCCCACTCCATGCCAAGATATTTCCAGGCATGTGACAAAGTACTTAGAAGACCAAAATTATGCAAAGTGTGACAGCATTTCCTCGTGTCCCTCAGACTCTCTAGTGTGGAGAAGGATTCATCCCAGACTGGTGCACAGAGCGTAATCAGAGAGTCTGTGGTTGTGGTTGAAGGGGGGATGGTGGCCTCCTCTAGGTTGCACTCACAAGCTGCATAGTAACAGTTGGGCCATAGCCCCAGGAATTTGTGGTTTAGTTATACTTTGAATACAGTCTTCAAGTATTCCCTCGATATTCTTAAGTTTCCCATAGACTCAGAGGTGAAGCACAACAATGAATGACTGTATGTACTAGTGTGTGTGCACTGGACATGGGCTTACATTCAGCCACTTTCCTCCTCTTTCTTCTCTTTCTTGCTTCTTGAAGGCATCCCACCACTTTGACCATACAACCAATCTGAACAGGTGATGTTTCTTTGTTGTTGTTTAGACCTTGGGCAAGAAATTTTTGTCTGGGCTGGATCCAAGCCAACGTCCACCTACACTCACCTTTGCTGACCCATTAGCTAGGAGAACAGGAATGGGCTACCATAGCCTTTGGAAACACCATTTTAACCTCACAGGCTCTAGTGCCTCCTGGGTAGCCACAGCCTAAGTGCACACATTTTTCGTACTGAGCCAGCTAAGGGGACCTTGTTCTTCCCTCAGGGAGCAGTCACCATACTTCAGTTGGGACACCCAGTGGCACCAAGCAGACTAGGGCCATACTTTCCTCTTCTGTTTTCTGGCATCAACAACCAAGAGCAGGCTTGAGCCTCTACTGTACAAGGCACATAAAGAAGATGTCTTCTCCCCTAAGTGATGGCATCAGTGGATTCCTGGAGTGACCCCAGGTCCTCTGATCACATGAATTTATTGTAGCAGAAACAGGTAGCCAGAGTTTGCACTTTAACCCTTCTCCCAATCAGTGAACACATGCATAGGCCTAATTAGTAATTTCCATCCCCATTTGCTGCTGCTCCCTTCACTATACCAAGGAAGGATCAAATCCCACCCCAGAGTCTCCATGTACACAGCTAAGAGGCAACTTTCTCCTCTACAATGTTGTTAGCAAGTGTCCCTCAGGTAAGTAGATTCTTTGTACTCTTGCACAAGAGAATCCTGTAGGAGATGCACACAGACCTGAAGTTCCCTCTGCCTCTCACTGTTATGCCAGAAGTCACAGGACAAACCAGGACTTAACTGTCTACCAGGAGCTACTTGTGCCTCTCATCCTTCCAAGCAGAATGAAAGAATGGTATCAGAGTAGAGCATGGGAAAAGATATTCTTTAATTATTCTTCTGAGTCAATCTCTGGACTTGAAGTCAAGAACTAGGCAAATCTTAGATCCTTTTGGCTCTAAGAATACCTCAACCACGTCCAGATTTCGTTGGCAGTTAATAGGATATAAGTGTCTCAGAGACTTACCAAATTTGGGCAGGCTTCCAAATTGGATCTTCTGATCTCCACTTCCTAAGTGGCAATGACGACAGGCATGAGCCACTGTGCCTGGCTCATTAATTTTTTAAAGGACAGAAAACTCTTTTTTGACTACTCTTCACCATTATTAAAAATTAAGCAAACAATATATAGTGAGATTACATTCTGATGATGACACAAGTTGCTTTTCTGGCTTTTGTGGCACCAGTACTACAATACTGAGAAAAATTGACCCTACTTTAAGGAATGAATTTGAGAAATGCAAAATGTTTAAGTCAATTATAATGAAATTTTCCTCACTCATTTAGGCCCTGAATTGTCAAAATCTCTAAGTAACTAATTCCTTTTCCACAGGCTGAGTCTTAGATATGCTAAAATTCATCAGCTTTCTGTATAAATATTTCACTATTCTGTAAAGTAGTGGCTCACTACTGAAAGTTTTCAATGCCCACTTAGTTTTGCTCAGCTAATTAAGGGAAACCAAGCTGTATGATTTGCTCATTTGCATGGTAAAGATATTGGTTTTAAAACATACTCTTAAAAATTGCAAAGAACTTATTGCATTTGCTTTCCTATGTCAGAGGCAGGAAAACCTAAAATTTGAGGCAAGTTTGATGTCTGGCAGGATCAAGGCCAGTATGAGCTTCCCAGGACCCAGTCTCAAAAACAAAACAGAGGTCAGGGATGTACTTCAGTGATAGATCATTTGGCTAACTTTCCAGCACCCCAAAATAAACAAAATCTCCAAAAACATTGCCAATGTGTTATATGAATACAAACACAAATAAATACAAAACATGTGGATGGTCCTTCAACATAGCCATTAGAAACTATGTTTTTTTTTTTAAGTACTAACTAATATGTTTGGCTGATATATGAAAAGCCTGTTCTTTAAAATCAAGAAAATATAGCCTGGAAGCAATTGTTCTTTTCTGATAGAGAATGAAACTCCAGAAATCATGTAATATACTTAATTCAAAAATCTCCAAAAATAAAACTCCAGAGCGGCCCAAATACTACATTCAAAACCAAGATATCAAACTAGATTTTATTAGAATGTAGTTGCTGGTTCACAACATTAATGCTAAACACAAGATTCAGATCATAGTGGATCATATATTGTTCAATGTATATATTTCAATCAATGGAAACAATTTACTCTGTTTCATCTTCCATTCCAATTTAGTCTTTCTTGGTAAAAAGCAATTACAAGTTGAGGGCATTTAGCCGTAGCCTCTTTTGCCAGCACCAACTCAACTTCATCTGCATTTTTCCATTTCACGAGGAACATCAATTCTCCACAAACATCAGTGACACCAATGATTTCTTCCGGTTTCAGACCCCTAGCAAAGCCGTTCCTATCTTCAAATTCACTTGGAGGTGAACCAGATTCATCAGAATTTATGAATGCTGTGATTAAGTCAGCACAGTTTAAATTTTCTTCAGTTTCCCAGGAATTATATGTATCTGAATATCCTTTCCATTTCAGGAGGTATTCTATGTTGCCACATCGTACACGGCGACCCAGCACTTTTTCCACCTCAAACTCTTCAGGCTCTAATTCTTCCACCTTTACAGACCTTTTGCTCTGTCTCTTTCTTCTTTTTCGTGGTACACTCTCCTTGGAGGCCATTTTTAGTTGTAGATTTGAGGGGCTATTATTAACCACCTCAGATGCTCTGGATCACAATCTTGCAGCAAATCTGGCCAGCGAGCTTCAACCTCTAGTCAGCTCTGATGGGGATATTCTTTAAATTTTTATAGTAATTACTGGAAATAGAAAAAAAAAACACCAGTCTGAATCAATTGTGAAACTTCTAAATCACCCTGCTTATAGATCTAAAAAACTGTCCATCAGCCTGGCATGCTCCTCAGGAACAACCTGGCTTCTAGTAGTAGACAAAGCAAAGCAAATAAACACTGCCCAGGGTGTTTAAAGCTGAATTGTCATTGGAACCACAACCACAAAATAGGCAAGGCAAACCCCCAAAATATCCAGACCAAGATATTCCATATGAAACTTATGAAAGTTAACTTTAAAATAAATCCATACTGCAACTAGAGAGAAATTTATTACCTATAGAGGAACACTAATTTAAATGCATAGTACATTACTTCTCTGAATCCAAAAAAGTCTAGAAGTATGTGGTACATTCCCAAACGGTGAAAATAAACAACAGTCACCTCTGAATTCCAGGTTCAGGAAAATATCCTTCTGGAATTGTGGGTAAATAAAGACATTCTCAGAAGACAGAAAATTTAGAAAAGTGTCACTAGCAGATGTATCAATAATGAATGGCTAAAGGAAATTCTCCATAAACAAAAAAACAATACCAGAAAGTGGCTCATAACTTCAGAAGGAAAAGAGAAACATATGTAAAAATCAGGATGAATAAAACAGACACACCTTCCCTTGTGTTTTTCACTCAAGAGGGAACTCTACCACAAGGGCTTCATTCCAAATCCATTTTCCAAACTTCTATGGCATAAATATACACGTATGCATATATTTATGTATGAATATGTGAGTGCATATATATACATATATTTTATATACATAATGATAAATATAGTATATACTTATAAATATATAGAGAAGTATGTGAATGTGCAAATAAATATCACACTATATAGCCGGATGTAATCTATAATGTATACATAAATCTGAATTTCACCCAGCATATTTCTAAGGCTATCATATCTGGGTAACTCATGTTTGATACTGTTCCTTTTCATATTTCAGAATTGGCAATGGCTGGCCCATTCCCAAGATCTTTTGCTGTCTTATTTTCCGTTATCAGATTTCTCAAGCATCACAGTAACTTTTAACCAATGGTGATCTCACATAACTTACAGTCTACTAAGGAAAGAGCAGATAAGTTAGCCCAGGAAGACAAAATCTGGCCTAGCTACCATGTAAATAATATTGTTTTAAGCTTGGCTTGTAATCCTAGCTATTCATGTAGCTGAGATATGAGGATCAGAGTTCAAAGCAAGCCCCGGGCAGAATATTCTGTGAGACTCTCATCTCCAATAATATCTCCCCCCAAAATCTATAGTGGAGCTGTTAATCAAGTCATAAAGTACAAACCATGAGCAATAAAGCTCAGAGACAGGTCTTAGGCCTTGGGTTTAAGCCCCAGATGCTCCACAAAAAATCACACTGCACTTATTGGTTGCCATAGGAAGTACTATCAACAACATTCCATTTTGTTTTCTTCATATATATACGTGTGTGTATATATATATATATATATATGCATATATGTATATACTAATGAAAATGCAGTTGGTATTTGAGTTGTAATGGTGAGAGATAACTTTGTAAATTACACTTCAGTGACTTCCATTGATTTTTTTATACTCTGCAGCCAACATTGTTCTGATAAAAAATGAAATATTTTGCCCTGTGATTGGGGCAAAGGAAGGATGCTTTCACGCATCACTTTAATTCAAAATAGCTCAAATGCTCTAACCAGCATAATAAGGCAAACAGAAAAATAAAAGACATCCCCCACGATAAAACCCCTACTTTTACTGTATTTGATGTTGGTATAATTTGTGGAGGGGAAGGGAAAAAACAAATCATTTAAATAGGGATACAGGTGGACCCATTGCAACAATGAGATGTAGAAGATGTTATGTTGGTCAGCTTTGAAATGAAATTCTCAGATCTCAGACCCAATAGTGGCACACACAATAAGACATACATGTATACAAAACAATACCACTTAAAACTGTTCTGCACAAAATGAAGTACATAAAAACTGAACAAAATATATACAAGATGTGTATGCTGAAAATTCCAAAATGCTAATGGTAAAGTGTAGACATGGAATTTAAAAAATCAGAAAAAATCAGGGTTAGAATTGTAGTTCAAGTAGAAGTGTGCCAACCAAGTCAATGTGAGGCCCTAAGATCCATAACCTAGTACCACCAAAAAAGAAAAAATGTAAGGAAACAATAATATGGAGTTAAATGCATGAATGTAAAAGACAAAATAAAACCCATCTGTACAATTCATTTATATTAATATTAAAACAAGCTTATTCATACTGAAAATGAAAGAAAATCATAAAATTGTCTATTTTAAAATTATAATTATTTAAACTGTAATGTAGTAAACTATAAAACTGTTATATTTGTAGAAGAAAGCAAAAGACTGACTAGGTATGTATTTCTCAGACAAGACACCAAAACATAACATATATCACGCAATGTGAAAAATTGAATGTCTGAAAAATTAAATTTTCTGTTCTGAAAAACATCTCTTATTAAGTAAATGAATGGAAAGACCAGCTGCAGAATAAGAAAATATTTTCACATTGACAGAGGACTTGCAAAGCTGTATGACATGACTGGCCATTAAGGGAAAGCAGGTTTTAACAAAGTATCACCACAAATCTATCAGAATGCCTTTATAATGAGAATATTAAAGACTGAGAAAGATCTAATGAAACTGATCTCATTCACTGATGTTGGATATACAAAATGGTACAGACAGTCTGGAAAGGTTTAACAGTTCATTTTTTTCTTAATATTTTTATTGTAAAGATACTGTACAGAACGGTTACAGTTACATGAGCAAGGTAATGAGTCCATTTCCTATCAAGCATTATTACACCCTCCTTTATTTTTCCCCTACCATCCTTTCCTCCCCACCTCCCCAACTCCTCCCTCCCCTCTCCCACCTCCTCCTCTTCCCTCCCCGCCCCCCTGCAAAGTTATAAAGTTCATTTTCAATATACTGTCTTTCTTTACTTTTTTTGTGCAAGTCCTGGAGCCTAAAATCTGGGTCTGGGCCTATTGCTGAGCTTTTCTGCTCAAGTCTAGTGTTACTGCTCACCATCCAGGTTTTTGGTGGTTAAGTGGAAAAAAGAGGGTCTCATGGATTTTCCTTCCTACCAGGATCCTTAGATGTCAGCCTCCTGAGTAGCTGGGATTCAAGGCTTCAGCCACCCATGCCTGGGTTTTAATGTGCAAGTTTGCGTGTGTGTGTTTGTGTGTTTGTGTGTGTGTGTGTGTGTGAAATTGAAGACAAGGCCTCTTTCTCTTCCTCAGATATTTCACTCACAACTGAGGTTATATAATGAGAGCCATACTTCCATTTCCTCACAGATTCTTTTAAGAGTATAAACATTCTTATCCAAGCTAGACAACACTGAACTTTCAATTAACATCTGACCCAGCAACAGTAATTCTGGGTATTTAGCGTGATGCAATGAATTTATATTTCCACAGAATACTAGAGAAGAATTATAGTGCTTTTTCTCTTATTATTTTTGCTGTACTAGGGCTTGAACTCAGGGCCTGGGGCTTGGGAGGCAGGCTGTCTTACAAATGAGCCACAACTCCAGCCTTTTTCTGTGCTGGTTATTTTTAATGCTGACTTTGGGCTTGCATTCTGCATACTGCTACTGACATTCTGCATACTGTTCCTGACCTATTTCACTCAAGGCTTAGTGCTTTACCATTTGAGCCACAGATCAACTATTGGATTTCTGGCATTTAATAAGAGATAAAATTCTGTTTCCTACTGGGTCCGAGAGCTGACTTCCAATTGGAAGCCTCAGATCTCAGCCTCCTGAGTTGTTGAGATTACAAGCAAGGGACACCAACACCGGTCTGTGCAGGGGTTGTATTGTTGGTGTTTTGTTTTGTCTGTTTATAAGATAAGAATCTTAATTCTTGTCCAGGGGAGTGCTCTGTTGTGATGGCCTTATTTTAGGCAAGGTCTCTGTTGAGGTCGCTAAAACTTATCTCCAGTGGCCAGCCTTAAACCATAATTCTCCATATCTCAGCGTTCCAAGTAACTAGGATTAAACATATGAGCCACTGACACCTAGCTAGCATGTGTATTTTGTCCATCTGTGTGCAAATGTGTGTGTGCATGTGATAAACACATTTGCACACAGGACTTTCAGCTCTCTCAGCTGTTCTATTCAGGGTGGAGATCAATCACTTGAACCAAAACTCTAGTCTGGTTTTCCCAACACTTAATTGCAGATCAGAGTCTTATAGACTTTTCTGCCCTGCCTGCTTTTGAGTCTCCATCCTCCATGTCTCAGCTTCCTGAGTAGGTAGCATTCCAAGCAAGAGCCACCAGCACCTAACTCATGTTTATTTTTTGATAAAAATTGGGGCAGGTGCCAGTAGTTCTAGTTACTCAGGAGTCTGATGCAGGAGGGTAGAGATTTGCATGCAGCCTGGGCAGCAACGGCAGAGAGATGCTTATCTCCAAGTAGCCAGAAAGAAGCTGGAAGTGGGTTGTGGCTCAAGGAGAAGAGAGGCAGCACTGATTGAGAAAGGCAAATGTGAGCTTGAGGCCCTGAGTTCAAGCCTCACTACACAATAAATGAAAGTGCGACGGTGTGCTGGCTCCAGAACATACAGAGAATAATTGTATGTGTGATTAATTTTGCATGAAGAACCACTGAGGGGATGAATTAGAAACCAATCATGCACCTGTAGCAGGGAAGGTGGAGTCAGAAATGGAAAGGACAAAAATTAAACCTTACAAAACCCAAGAGAAAAGATTGGGAATGGAAATTTCTACCTTATATTGGTTGTTTGGTTTTAAATTGTGGTAAATATTTTTTTTAAAAAATGCATGATAACAATACAGAAAAGGAA